TATGTAGTGGTGTTTCCCTTCACTTCAATTCCATCCTAGTCTAAACATCACCTTGTTCATTTCAAATATACCCACAACCAGGTATGTGGAAACACTTCTAATTCATTCCCCTGATGCTATGATTCAGCTTTTATTTTTTTCTTAGAAAACTCTGTTTAAACTGACTACAGCAAAGTCAGCACCTTTTCTTTGTTTTTCCAAAGAAATACAAAGAATTTGCTTCTCCATGAAATAAGATTTTTACAAGTTAAAGCTAGCCCATTAGAACAAAACCAAAATGCAATATCTGCTTCTCAAAGAAAGGGACAGAACATATGGTCAGCAGGTAACAAATCTCTAGCTGACGAGTTCTGCTAGTTTTACAATATCAGAGATGACAACTGCAGTTTTAAAAGAAAGAACAAATTAGAGGCTTCCATTAGCAATATGAAAGGAGATAGCCTTACACAGGAGCTAGGAAAAAAAGCATTTTTTCTAAAGATAGATGAAAAACAGTTTTAATGCCAACTATATTGTCTTATTTCAAAAGTAGCGCAACTGTAACAGTGACACACAGAAGTCTTCAATATTACACTCATTAAATTGTAATAAGTAGAACTGGTTTGCATACTTTCTCATCTACAAATGTTAAGAAAACATCTTTGGAAAAAACTATATATTTATTATTTCACAACCTATTAATTACTAATGGGAAATCTCTCTAAATTGAGTAAAATAATAATAGGCCAACGCAATTCTGTTGCATTACACACCAGTTAAGCTTTACACTCTTTCGTCTTTTGGAAATAATTAAAAAATTAAAGTGCATGAGTAAAGCTTACACTGTAAGGAACATATTATTTTTCTCAGCTGCTCTTTGCTAGAAATGCTTCTTCATGACACCCTTCATTACTGAGCCAGAAGCAGGATCATTCCGTGCATTAGCTCTTGATAACTGCCTTCCCTCTGCTTCGTACAACCTCTCCTGAATCCTGCAGACTGAGCACATGCAATGCAAAGTGCTCAGGGACAGACTTCTACACTTTCACTCCACATTACTTAAACAGTCCCTTCTTTCTCTTGATCCTGCAAACAGCCAGCTTTGCTTGGTGCCCAGAAGCGCGAGACCCCTGATGCCACTGATGACGTTACTGCTTGCTGTCACTCCTCAGACAGAATCTACTCCTGCTAGTTGATTATCACTGTGACTCATCCTTCGAAGCTCTTTGTGTTTGATTACATTTTTTTAATTCCAGGTGAGGATAAAAACTGCACAAGATACTAAAAAGTTCAATATCATGGCCAAGCACGTCCCTATAGATCGATGCAGTGGTGCTCGCTTCTTTTCCTTGTTGCTTTCCCAATATTTCTCAGCTGTTCACCTGTGTTTTTTGACTTCTTGTTAAGCACAGCACATTTTCATTAAAAAAAATTGCAAAATACAGATTTAAGAGAAACGTGTTAAATTAAATACATTTTTCATATAGATCACTTTTTACGTGTACCTTCACTGAACGTCAGTTGCCTTTTTAGTAACCTGACATTTAGACCACTCATACTTACCACATTTAATAACTTAGTATGATCAGCAAATTTATGAAATAACTATTTATTAGACTACCAGCTTATCCACATAGTCAAAAACATTTTGAAAAGCATGGATCCCAGTACATGTTCCACGTGATATCATTGGTGGCCTCTTTCCACTGTGAAAACTCATCCTTTCCTCTCCTATTACTTATTGTTTTTATCATTTTTTATGATTGCAGGAAATCTCCTCTTGGTCAGCATCATTGTTTTCTCAGGAGTGTTTAGCAGACTTTGGTGTTGCTAAAATCCTTCTCGTTCTTCAAATAATCTATTACTACAGTTTCTGTTGATTTGCCCAGTGCAGACATTTTGGTCTATATCCTTTCCTCATCTTCCCTCAAATTCACCTTAAAATTGGCACCATTATTTGCAGTCTCACATCTCTAAAGCCATCCAATTTTTCCACAATTAATTTCACCACGTTTACCGTTTTAATTATTTCACCTGAGTACTTTCAAAATCTGTGAGTAGATACCACCTATTTATGAAATTTCCTTCATGGTGTTCTGTACCATGTCCTAACAGCTCAAAATGAGTTTCCTCATAGTGAAATATTCCTGTTCAGCAGTTTCCGCAAACTCTTCCACTGTGAGAGCAGAAGTAAATGATGAAACAAACAATTTTGCTGCAATAATTTCTTCTAAATGCTTCTGTTTTCCCTGATTCTCTTCTGAGATTACTTACTCTCTGCCAGACTTCCTGCTGCTTGTAACTGAGAAAGAGCGTTTCTTGACCTCTGTATTTCTCCAAATTGTTTTTGTTAACAGATCTTTTATGCAACTTGCAATTACTTTGATGTGCCTTGCTGTGGATATTATTTTCATATTTACAGTCCTTTCCATTTTCTTCCTAAGTCCCCAGCTCTCTGACACACATTTTGCTTCAGCAGCAAATAGCTGATAGCATGCTGGCTAGACACAGAAGCTCCTTTCTGCCCTTTCTCAATCCTTTCTCACTAAGCAGGATTTATTTCTTCTGCGCCCTCAATTCAGTATTTTAAACTGCCCCATCTGTCCCATCTGCCATGACATAACTGCCTGTGAATCCTTCCAGATTCTTCCTTAGCAGGAATGCCCATTTCGATACAAACTCTGCTTTCCAAAGTTACCCACAAGTACTGGGAGATTTACTGGCTTCTGCAGTCCCATGAAGATACTGAACCTAGATAGAGATTCGGCTAAAATACATTGCACCACATCCACCTCCCTTCTGCTACTTCTTTCACCGGATCCTCAACTATCCAGTCCATAACAAAATCAATAATGCAGTCTGCAGCTCTCTAAGATTTTTTTTTTTCTTTAGAGTACTCTGTTATTCTCTGCAGACATTTTTCTACATATGAGTCAATCTTGTCCTTCCAACTTTTCCCTGCAGTTTCTCCCCAATACACATATCATCTCCAACTGCATGCTCCACTTCATCCATTGCTGTTTTTCCACTCTTAGACTCACTTGTGGTTTTGGTTTAAAAGTCAATCCTTCTCTACACCCTCCTGCATTCCCGAGGTCCCTCTAGTTTCTTTTATAAGGATGAACCTCATCCTTACACCATTTTTGCCTTTGCAGAAGAAAATATTCCCTCTCAGCCTCTCTGTACATCAGGGACAGTCACTGAAGAGATCCTGGGCTGCTGCACCCATGTTGTCCAACACCTGCTGTTAAATAAATCACTGTTAAACTTACAAAAGAACAATGGTAAATCAGTCAACATAAACTGTCATTTTTTCTTTCATCCACTCCATAATTTCAGTCACTTTGAGGAAGAGACTGGAACTCAGTGAACCCTTCTCCCCTCAGTCCTCCTCAATGCTGGTTGGATACTGGATGATATGTGGCAGATATGCTCCTGTACGGTCATCCCAGGCTGCCTCTGGGTCTGCCAGGTGCCTTCTGCCTTCAGCAGGGGCATCTTTCCCTCCCAGGTACCAGGGCTGCCACAGTTGTCCTGAGGCACAGCATCATTGGAGAGCTACAGTGAATATGAGACACATGTCCTCTGTAGTAAAAAATCCGTTCCCTGGTGGTATGCATGCCATGTGACATCTGGGGAGACTGCTTCGATGGGAAGGATACTTCTGTAACATCCCAGCCAGCACCAGATTTATACAGTCCTTGGTTTCTGCTTTACAAAATGGTTATTTTTACATGCATCTCTGTCCTTCTCATTAAGCAATAGGAATTGATGATGGTTCTTGTGTTTAAAATAATTCAGCTGCTGAAAGAATTACATACCTTACTGTTGTTATGAAAGAAGCCCTCAGTGGTAGCCGTTTGCAAAAGCCTTCTGAAATAATAGTAGCATTTTATTTTCCTCTTTTGAACTATTGTCTCAGGAGAGCTTCTGCATAGCATGCAGGCATTGGCTCCAAATATGTCACAATACTGAATGCTTTGTAATTTGATTTGCAAAGAAATCTGGATCTCCCCAGCACCACTGGTAGCAAAATAAAGATATAATATGTACATGTGCATGTGCAAATGTGCTAAAATTGACTCTCCAGTAGGAAGGAGCTGAAAACTACAGCATGAGATTGATGAAGAGCACCATTTGCAGCATCTAACTGTATTTGTTTCTCAAACTGGGTCTACATTCTCTTCGGTATATACAATTTTTGCAATACATAGTGTAAAACCTCTCCTGGGACAAGGCCACTGTTTTTCATATTCGATGCATTTTTCTGAAGAAAGTTTCAGGTGAATTTTGTACAGTGAGATTTTCGGACAGGTGCTGATCTAGAATTCAGCAGAGCAGAAAAATATTAGCATCACAGTTTTATTGGATTATTTTCAAATATAGATGGGTGCATTCTGTTCAAAAAAAGAAAAAAAAAACAAAACCAAAAAGCAGCTTTTCCAAATGTTAGACAATAATGCAAGTGCTCAGTTCTGTTCATTAAGCAACTCAGTGTTAGTCTGAAAAACAAGACACCACCACCATTCTTTAACAAATACAAAGGTTGCATTTATCAGCCATACTGGTGGAAATTGACCGCTAGATTTCTTTAAGAGAAGGTTTCTTCAAAAACATGAGATGGTCCCAAGTTTTGCGAAATGAGACAGGCTACAATTTCCTCAACTAATTCATTTGATGATTTCAAGACAACCCATAAAAGCAATCCATGGCTTCATAGTCACAAGAAGAGTCCTTCTGAAATGTAAGTAATAAAATGAGCATCTCTTGCAGTAACAGGACTTGGGGCACTTATTCAGGACAGCTGGCATTCATCAGAACTTAGGGCTGTGCATGCATGCACACAAACACACACACCCATACACTACTTGTCAGAGCAGAGCAATAAATTTAAAAATATCTGCCCATAACAAAGTTAACCCACGAGTGGTGAAATGGCTTGGGTATTCCATTGTTTTTTGTTCTTGAAATTATAGCTTTCTCTCTGTGAGCACTTAACAGGTTCCAAAGAGCAATGGAAATAAAGAAAAAAATAATTCAGCTTTATTAATCAGTTACTGGGTTTCAGGTGAATGTTTTAAGTGAACTAGGAACAACGTGCTTTACCGTGCTCTGAAAATCACACACAGGCTAACAGACTAAGGAAAAATGAAAATATGTACTTTTATTCAAAACAGCTATAGCACTGAAATGTTCAATAACTTCATAGCAAAAGACTACAGCACACGGAAACAATGACTGATAACTGTAAACTGCAGACTGTTCTAAAGAACAACCTCGCATACCGCAACTACTTCAACTGATTAAGTGGTGTGGCCTTGCCAGCGTGCTAAAACAAACGAAGAGACAAACCAAATAAAACCTGACAAAAGAAAAAAACATGACAACTAAAAGCAGTTTCTGGACAAGGTGAGACGCTTGGTAAAAGCTCTCTCTGTAAGCTGAGAGGCCACACTCACTAGACTACATTTCTTTCATTTTCAAACACCCGAATCTTCACTCGATGAAGCTTACTGATAATAAAAAATCTATCCCATTATATATCTATATTTCTTCATGTGGATATTAAAATAAACTATGTTCTGAAATTAAGAGTTAAAATTCCTCCTTTTGTTTTCCATACATATTTGCCTGTATAAATATACTTCGTCATTTTACAAATTACAATATTTATATTAAAGCTTTCGGTCAGCAAACCATCACAGCTTCACACGAACAAACAATTTCTGTGTTTTGGTTCTGTCTTTAAATCATTTTTGGAGATAATGAAAACCAGCCCAAATGAGTGACTGCTAACAATATAAACAACACATTTATTTAGAAAAATAAACTGAAAATGCTGCTTGTCTGTTAGATTTCTCCATGAAGTATAGACAAATGGCTAGAAAACTTGTATGCCAAATACGTATTACAAATGACTTTGTCTCTTTAACAGTAACTGGAACAACAATGCCAGCATTCAACAGGAACAGATAGGATGTATAACTGAATAGATTAAACTCCTTGCAACAGTATGATAAAAAAAATGGATGCTATTAAAAAAGATTATATCCCCGTTGTAGACACACCTTAACATGTTGATGATTTGTCATATATATACATATATATATATGTATGTATATGTGTGTATTTATTTAAACCTCAGAAAGGACCACAGTCCTTTCAGTGAAGAGATCCCCTTAGTGAAAGAGCGCACAAATGTTTTTCTTCAGTTCTAACTTTTATATTCCACCTTTTGGAGCCCCGGCAGAATACAGCTCATTGTCAAAAAGCTCCTGGGGCTGTCTGTGCAAATGGTGGCACACACCATTACCCTGAATGGAAGTGACAGTGCAAAAACTTGAAGTGCATTGAGATGCAATCTTTAACACCTGAACTTTTTCAAAGTTGGGTGGAGGACAGGAGTCAGCATCCTTTGAAGCAGTTTAATGTCACCGATGCCCTGTTCCTGTATGGCTTTCAATATGTACAAGGAATGACAGAGGTCTTCTTTCGCTGTAGACAATAAATTCCCCTGTTACTGTAAATGCATTTATATCCCATTATCGCCTGCGCGCTTCATTTCTCCTTTTGGCTACATATAGAAATATTTTTGGATGCTGCCCACGAAAAGCTCATCAATTGTTACTCTGGTTGCTCAGCACAGAACTCAAATGCCAGAGAGCTGGGGTGAGATTGTTGGTCCTCTATTCTTTGCTCCCACCAAGTGGAATTTAAGGCTGTGGCTTTTGCCAGGACGCTGCTTGCAGCAGTCTGATCTGAAACAGAGGAGTCAATGCAAATTTCACCCATGAGTCATTGTGCTCTGACTTGAAGGGCTTTCCCATGCTCCATGGAGGGTTGGGTTCCTGGTTATTTTTCAGATCTGGCCTGCAAGAAGTCACAATGATGAATCTAATATGCAAGAAATTAGATGACATGCCTCCAGATACAGATATTCCTTGAAGCCTGAAGGAGCTGCAAAAAAGAAGACAAGGACAAAGTTATAAAAGCATGACTTAAAAGTGATAAAGTGATAAACAAAATAGTTTTGAATGATTGTTCGGCTTTCCAAGAGTTCAAAGCACTGTAATATTCTGAAACCTTGCCTCTTACAGTTTATTACTGATACAGACCTTATTTCTCTGCACGGTCAACAGGTTTAACTTCACAACTTTCTTTAGAATTACATTAATTCATAGAACCTGAGAAAAAGATCATTATGGTCTTATGTCCCAGACTACATATGGGTGTTAAACTGATGCATTTTTGATTATTACCTTTGTTAATCTAGCTAACCCAACAATTCATCAGCATATGTAAGAGCTTAAAACCAAACCAAAACTACTGAGATTTTAATATACAAGGAGCAAAATATCATGCATTTGAGGAACTTTTAAGACTTCAAATCTAATTTAGGCTATGAATCTGGATTCTATTTTCCATTCTCAAGTTAGATAGAAAGTGAAATTCAGCAGGAGATTATAACCTGACAGACAAGTTTCCTAATCACTAGAATACTATTCAGCGTTTTGATTCAGGTCACTCACAATCTCTTTCTGGGAAATGGCTTTAATTTATATAATGCACTAAAATGATCCTTGAGGCACTGAAAGAAAATAATAGTGCAATCTAATGCTCAGGCTGAGTGTATTTACTTACTAGACAAGAAAAAGCAGCACAAAAAAGTGGGGCTATGGGATACTTACCAGCTGATAGGTAAGGCAGGAATTTGGATTATTTTATGAACTCACGTTGTCTGAGGGAAAGAATGAGAAATTCCTCTTCCACCTGTCGAGATTTACAGCTAGGGCTACCCCACTGTGAGGGGAATGAAAATTATTTCCTTACCATTACAAATGGATTTTATAAACCTAGCCTTTCATTCACATCTCCTCTTCTTTCATATCGACTGGACTGCTTCATTTTGATAAGGTGGGAAAAGGTGAGGCAAGACAAGGTGAAGCAAGGCAAGAAAGAAAGGAAAGGAAGTAGAATCTGAAGTTGGCATAAATTGAGGCTTTTTTCCCCAACAATCAAAGCAGTGAGTCAGAAATACTGTCTGGATTGCTGCACCAGCCCAACAATCTAATGGCCATGGTATAATAAATCTATGAGAAAACTGACTTTGGGTGGCAGAATTTTTTCCTAACCAACCATGCTTTGGCTCACATCATTAATCAAAAAGGTGAATATCTTATGTATTTGCTAGCAGTGTAGTTTTAAACAAAGGACTCTTCATATCAATGGAAACATATCTATCTTCAGCTATCACAATTTCTTTCTTTAATTATATCTTGGTCTAATGATTTGTGTATGTTAAAACATCGTAAAAATCACAAAGATAATGGTATTGCCCTAGAATTCAGGGTAACATGAGACAGGGTGGATATTGTACAAAAAAACATGCATGAAAAAGCAATACTAATAACCAAAAGAAATAAATACTGCAAATATTTCTTGTTCTCTGTCAGGAGACAGTTCTTCCTCGAACTTATTCTGAACAGAACACAATGCTGAATAGTTGTAGGTGTGTAAAGCAATATATATTTTTTTGCTTCTCTAGGTTGCAGTTCATTACTTACTTGGTAACATGCCCACAAAGACTGAATATTATAGCAGACATACCTCAATTCTTGTTTCCCAATGATATGACGATATGATGATATGATATGATTCCCCATGATGACTGATTCCCAATTGTACAACTGTATGACATCCACCTAAATCTCATTGACACTCTACCAAAGAAGAAAAGTTTGTCTTTTGTTTTTTAATGATACCTTTGAACAAATGGCAGTGCTACGAAAAATGTGATGTGTATCTTTACGCAAAATAAATAAAATACCCAAATTAGAAAATTAAGAATTTGGAAGCTGGGCAATGCCCGCATTAAAAATAGAAAAAGCAGTTCCTCTTCCCACCTCAAATGGATGAATGAAAAATTAATCAATTGTTGCCCATCGTCGTGCAGATGAAGAAGTGAGGCGCAGAGAAAATAGGTCAGTTATTGAAGAAATATATTCTGTTTTTTATTGCTATAGTTTTTAGTAGTTTGACAGGAGCTCTACCTTCAAACACCCACATTTAATTTGTGCTTACAAAATGCCTTCAGCCTCGTTAGTATCTTCATGATGCAAACTTTACTAAACAGCAAAGGCTGAGACAGCCTACAGGAGACTGCTTTCTCATTTGAACCCATTCTCTACCTTTCTTTGGCTTGGCAGTCTTGGTCTTGCATCCGCAGCTCCAATATTCAGTTCCAAAAACAGGAACTGAAAGAAATCACTGTAATTGTTTTCCTCACTTAGAACCAGATATTCCTTCCTCTCAAGTATACTTTACTTCTATGCCAGCGTTACTCGAATAGTCTTTCATTTTCCACTGTTTGTCAGTATCCACTGTTTTTCAGTTTTCTTGAAAACTGAATGAAAATTGAAAATGAAAACAGATGAAAATTCACTCAAGAATTTATTCAATTTAAATTCATGTTCAAATGAAATCCAAATAACTTATTCAATTTTAACTGAAGAAACAAGTTCAAAGTAGAAAGATAATCAAGCTCAATTTATAGTATTAACAATTAATAAATGTGCTTTGATTGTGTAGTGGCAGGACAGAAATATGCCAAACAAGTGATAGAGAAGATATTTATCAAATTTTAATTGACAAGTGCATTGGTGACTGCCAGTGATGGCAGAAATGTGAATTTCTGTGCTACGTCTAGCCTCTTTTATTAAGAAGGAGAGAAAAGATTAGGAATCAGCTTCATGTTCAATCGAGAGAGACAGAGAGACTTAACACTAAGTTATATAAACCTTGAATCATTCTCATCTATACTAATTAAAATCTCCCATATCTGAGCTGATTTTGCACTAACAGCATGAATTGAACACATGCTGTTACCCTGCGTAAGTGTGCTGGCGCTCAGAGCACCAGCCCATCTATTAGCTTCACTCAGGTTTTGACAAGCATGAGAAGAAGCAATCACAGAGCAACAAACCCTCCTCAGCTGCATGTATTTTCTAGATACTGTTAAATAGTAGTAGCATCTGGCTCAGCTTCTCAGTTGTACCTGAATGATATGGAAATATTTACGTTCAGATGTGGAATATCTGATCTATTTATGTTCAGCTTTTGTTTCAGGTCGGATGGATTACTATGCCAATTCCTTCAGAAGAGAAAGAATTATTGGTAGGGAACAGAATGCTTTCTAGGCCCTTTCTTGGCTGCCCTCAATGTCCAAAACAAATTCCGTGAGCTTCAGAGTATTGTTATAGGTATAAACTGATGCAGTGGATTTCAGAAAACACACGTTTTCAGTCACGAGCCAGATAAAGTGTCTGTGTTTCGTGATTACAGGAACTCTGCCAAATGCAAGAGCAATGTTTTTACCAGGTGTTTTACTCCTCCATCAACAACATTTTAACCATACAATCCAATTTTAGATGGTTGTTTTTTGTTTTTTTGTTTTTGCCTGTTTTGTTGCACTCTGGAGACATCAATGACAGTAAAATCTTTAAAACATGAAAAATGCAGAATTTCAACAAATGCACAACAACACTTGTTTGTAATCCTTCTGATTTCTTGTCTTCCCAATAAGCTTCAGAATACTGATTTCTGTGTGGTAGAGTAATCCTCCTGCCATTTCAGCCTCTAAATAATTTATTTGCCAAACAAAAAACTAGAATTCCTAATTGCTGATTGGATTTCTTTTTCTCTCAAAGATTTTGAAAAGATTGTGAATGGCGCGCATGCAAAGTTAAAACCTCTGCAATTATTCATTTTCATTTTTTTCTCCCTTGCATAACATTTTTGTCTATGTTCTGTTCTATGTACTGTAGAAACCATCTATTAGTTTCTACAGTAGTATCATTCTTACCACCTTGCTAATCTTTTCTTATGCGATGAAGTTATCAAGTCCTGTTGCTCCACCTCCAGACCCTTCTATGCATGTAGCTCTATGAATAGTTCTGCAAATCCAGTCCTAAACAGAGATCTGCAGACTGTGTCACACAGTATATGATGAAAGCATCTCTTAAACGAACTCTCTGTACTGAACACATACTGCTTAAGCACAGTGTTAGTGAAAATTGACTGTCTTTGTGTGTTTGCACAACAAAATGACCATCAGAACATTGGCTTTGAGAGCTGCTGCTACTCAGATACATATATATAAAATATATGAGGGCTGCTCCAAAAGTAATGCCTCCTATTGATGATGTAGGCCCATGCTATCAGAAGTGACTGTTGGTGATATGGCAGGTGAGGCTGAATCTCAATACAAATATTCCATTGCATTTTGTTGGCTTGCCAGCAGATGGCAGCAGAGCTGCAAATATTCCATCAAAATCAATGGCAAGCATTACTTCTGGAGCAACCTCCGTGTGTGTGTGTGCATCAGTATCTGTGTGCACATGTGCACAGCAATGAAACGTTCATGGAAAAGCAGCATGCAAGGAATGCAAGGAGCATTGTCTTTGCCAACTGCTGAACAAAACATGGCGGTGTTTTCTCAATGATGTCCCACACATTTCAGATTGGAGACAAGGAATCTGTGGGACTGACAGTAGGAAATTAAGCCTCTTTTTTTCATCCTCAACACAGCTCAAATCTGGGCCACCAAAATTACCAAGAGGTTTCTTGACAACACAGAAGCCAGTATCCTACTTTAGGGAGCCCATGAGTTGCGCCAAACCCCAAAGCACTAACTGCAAAGTGCTGAAGTGGAAAGAGTGGAGGAATCTTGTTCATGTATCCTGGGAAACTCCAGCAGCTTTGTGCCATGGTGAGAGGCCCCTTCTCTAGTAAGACAAGGACACATCAATTTTGCTGGAGAAGTGAGATTGTGCTTTCTTGGCAAGTGAAAGAAATGCAGAAATAAATCTCAAAATTCCTCAGAAATATTTTTGGCTGAGACTTTTTCAACCCACATCTTTAACCTTTTGAAACACTTTCATCATTCTTTTTTCTTTTTC